GAAGAATGAGACACGGGGAGAAAGAGGGGGAATAGAGAGATGGGGAGGGGGGAGAAAGAGAGGGAAGAATGAGACACAGGGGGAATAGAGAGATGGGGAGGGGAGAGACAGAGAGGGAAGAATGAGACACAGGGAGAAAGAGGGGGAATAGAGAGATGGGGAGGGGGAGAAAGAGACAGAGAGGGAAGAATGAGACACGGGGAATAGAGAGATGGAGAGACAGAGAGGGAAGAATGAGACACGGGGAGAAAGAGGGGGAATAGAGAGATGGGGAGGGGGGAGAAAGAGAGGGAAGAATGCCCCCCCTCCCCTGTCCGCAGGCACCGTGCGGGCAGGGGAGGAAGAGAGGACCTGGGAGCTCACCCTGCAGCTCCTCTGGGTCCTTCTTGCGCGAGCACAGAGCGTTGCAGCGGTTACCATGGCAACGTTACTGCTCTTGCGAGAGTCAACTCTAGCCCTGGAGCTACGGGCTAGAGTTCACTCTCAACACTGTAACCCCCATGGATTCCTGGTGGTCGCAGTGGTGAGAGTGAACTCTAGCCCCACAAACACACTGCCCCCACACACACACCATACACATTCACACACTGCCCCCATACACACCATACACATTTACACACATTGCCTCACACACACACACACATACACTGCCCACCCATATACACACAGACCCCCATACACAGCCCCCCATACTAACATTGCCACACACATACACTGCCCACACACTCTACACATTCACACACTACACCCCCACACACACACTGAACCTTTCACACACATTGCACCACTGCTCCTATTCCCTACTACAGCCTCATATCCCAGCAGACCCCAGGTAAGTTGTCAAACTGTTCTTAAACGGTTTGACTACTTACTCTGGAGCAGTAGTGGTTATTGTGCATGGATTATTTCTTTAAATAATCTACAAGTGCCCCAGTAGCCAGCCAGCCAACCCACAGGCTGGCCAGTAGCCAGCCCACAGGCCAGTAGCCAGCCCACAGGCCAGTAGCCAGCCCACAGGCCTACAGCAAGCCACAGGCTTACAGCCAGCAAGCCATAGCCTGCCTGCCAGCCGCAGTCAGCAAGCCCACAGCCTGCCGGCAGTAGCCAGCAAGCCCACAGCCTGCCAGCCGCAGCCAGCAAGCCCACAGACTGCCAGCCAGCAACAGTAATTAAGGTAAGAGGAGCCAACTTGGCTTAGGTATCAGCGAGCTATGTTGTGTTGCTATATTGTGAATAGGAACCAGAGTGTTGGAGAGACCACCCTCCAGACCCCATTAGACTCTAGCCTCTGCTAGAAATCCCCTCCATGGCCCATTAGCCCTCAATTGTAGTTTCTACTGGGGCCTGGAGGCGACTGTTTCCAGCAGGGGATATCTAATGGACGCTGAGATGGCCTCTGTTAGAAAGACCCCCTTCCAAGCCTTTTAGACTCCATTGTAGTCTCTAATGGGGCTTGGAGGGGATTCTTTCTAACACACCCTCTAAAGGACACTGAGATAGCCTCCGCTAGAAAGACCCCCCTCCATGGCCCATTAGCCCTCAATTGTAGTCTCTACTGGGGCCTCGAAGGGCTTATTGCCCTTTTGTTCCTTGTGTCTAAAGATTGTGTAGGGTGTGGCTGGAGGCGGGACAAGGGTGGCGCTTGCTGCAGAGTATGGGTGGGGCCTGTAAGGGGGCCCTTGATTTATTTTGCCCGGGGGCCCTGAGGGTTCTCAGTCCGCCCCTGCTAACACACACACACACACAGACACACATACTAACACACACACACAGACACACTAACACACACACACAGACACACATACTAACACACACAGACGCACGTACTAATAGACACACATACTAACACAGACAGACACACATACTAACACACACACTAACACACATGTCAAATTTACCTCTTTGAACCCACCCTCCAGTTTCCTACCTTTTCCTGGAGAGTGGCTTCCCTGGGATCCAGTGTGGTGCCTGAGACTGATGAAAGTGAGGAGCCTCCATCCTCACTGCCGCTGCTGCCGCCGCCTCCTCCTCCTCCTCCTCCCTCCAGCATGGCTCCTCCTGCCCCCTCCCGCGCAGCTCCTCTCTATACGGGAGGAAGTGACTCGCAGCTGTCACTTCCTCCCATATTGCCAAAAAGCAAGAGGCCCGTTCACGCCGTTAAAGGGCCACAGCGCCCGACTGTGCCCCTGCTGATACAAGCCCACTGGGTGGTCCTAGGTGCATGGGTCATTAAAGTACATGAAAAAAAATTAAGGGCAGCGGGGCCCATGGGGCAGCTTCCTTGGGCCCCCCAGGACTAACTGGGCCCAGGGCAGCTGCCTCATTTGCCCAATGTTAAAGACGGCCCTGCCCCTTATAAACTCTCCTCATATCCTTTACTCCTTTACCACTATTCCGATAAGGTCCAACCAGGCTCCCTTTTCCTGTTTGTGATAGAACAGCTGAAGTAGAGCCCTTGGGGCAGCTCTATGCACTGACTGCATAGTTCCAAGTGCTCCCTGCAGCTTTGTGCTGATTCTAAGGCTGATGTGCTATTACATCCTGGCTTCCCACATCAGTACCAAGGGCAAATCCAGAGCATACTCTTTTGAGGGGCATTGGCAAATTTAGCAAAAGCACACTGGATAGAGATAATATGTTATACAGAGCTCTCATACATTAATGCAAATTATATTCCTGTGGAGCTGTTTAATACGGTAATGTGCATGTGTATGAATATTACAGAGCTCCACAGCAATAAAACTAGCAGTAGCAAGTGATATATGATTGTATCAAAGTGCTTCAAATAGGGACATATTTTTTTTTTACTAGGCCAATATACCAAGGCATATGGTGGCTGTTTTGGGTGTGTGGCACACTGCTACACCATTTTTCTAAAATATATTAATTGAGGCTCAAGGCTAGGTGAAGAAAAGCTGAAAGGAGGCACCAGGACCACAGAAAAACAGATACAGTCACAAGTGTCACAGTGGGAGTGATAGGAGGAAAGGGAGGGAGGGTTTGATAGGAGGATACTAATTAAGTAAAGGGAGGGATGAGAGTGACAGGTGGATAGGGAAGGAATAATTGGACTGATGGGAGTGTAGGGAAGAATGGAATTGAGAAGACAATATGGATGGATTGGAGTGGGGGGGGAGAATAGGAAGAGAGTGGGAGGTGATAAGGAGCAAGGGATTGGACTGATGGAAGGGTGAGGATTGTTGGTATGGAAGATGTGGGAGATATGCGGGAAAGAATGGAGTGATTGGAGTACAGGGTGGGGAGTGATAAATAATCAGCAATACACCTCACATTCACAACGCATATATCAGTTTCGCAGAACTAGAGGACAATTTGAGCTTTAACTGATGTGGAATTCTGTGTTCAGTGCAACATTGTACTGTTTTAATTCATTTTAAGTTGTACCTACCGTTGGTGGTATGAGTGCAGGAACAGTAGAAGATAGCTCTTCTCCGTATTCTATTTTCCTAGTGAACGGAACAATGACCATAAGGTGCAGATAGCAGTGACAGACAGACATACTGCCGGTACTTGCCTTGACCTTTACTCCACCAATGGTTACCTTCTTGGCGCTGGGTGCCTTGCAACCCTTGCAGCACGGATAGAGCATCTCTGCCTATACAATACACAGAGCTGAGTACATTACAGACATACCAATACAAAACACAAAGCAGAGTACATTGGATCACACAATACAAAGAACTGAGTACAATAAAGAGATACCCATATACTATACACAGAGCTGGGCACAATGCAGGGCTAGCCATTAAATACATAGAGCTGGACACAATATAGAGATAACAATACACAGAGTTAGGCACAAAACAAAGATTCCAATAAAATACACAGAGCTGGGAAGAATACAAAGATACCATTACAATACACAGACCTGGGTACAACTTATTGCTACCCATACAATTTGCAGAGCTGAGAACAATACAAAGATCTAATACACAGGGCTCGGGACAATATGGTCATACCCATCACACACAGCCAGGGTCACTGTAGTGGATACACATAACCAGGTACAATAAAGAGACACCCATACAATATAAAGTAACTGTATAATACTTCATCTCTCTCTGTCTAACTCTAGCTCTCTACCCCTCTCTACGCTATCTTCAGTAGTGCTCATTGTGAGTTGAGTCTGACAATTGTATTTCTCTACTAAATGTTGCTGCTGCTATGAAACATATCAGTTATTCCTGACTCATTGTTACTGTTGTAGAATTATTAGGCCTCTATAAATTTGTAAGGCCCCTTTAAATCCTCTTGCTATACCTCTAAGAGGCCCCCATAGTTTTACAAGGAAGCTTTGTCTATAGAACATAGAATTTGCATGTCAGCAAGAAATAGCTTTGATAAAATGTGTATTTACTAAAAGCCTTGAAACCTAACCTTGAGAAACTAACAAGTGCCAGCTACGCTCCAAATGGATAGCTGCCAAAAGGCCCCTCCCGTCGAGTGAGCTCCTCATTTTAACAAGATGGCGCTAAAACCTGTAGGAGTTAAGAAATTACGTAGATAGTGACCTAAGAATGGGGAGGGCATTTTACTAACATCTTAGCACCTAAGCCAATTAACAATGTCTATTTGTCTATATCTTGATTTTCTTCAATGATGTAATAATGCCTTTAAAAGGGTCTGCGCACCCATTTTCTGTCAGAAGCCATTAAACTTCTCTGAAGTTCTTTCATTACCCTGAACCTTGTGTCTCAGTGTGAATTTACTTCTGCGTGCACGCAACTTTATTATCTTTAATTTGGACAGGAACAGATAGTCATTCAAACTAATTGGTTTGCAGTAAATTATCTAGAACAATTGGCGCCCAACGTGGGGCTCTGGGCTATGTCCAGTCTGGGCAGCTGTCCAAGAAGACGCTGGGGGGGCTGAATCCTGGGGGAAGGAAAAGAGCCTGATCACCTCTGAGTACACGGTAGAGATTGCTGCAGCACCTAGCCGGTATGTTCCTACCCCTGTGATTGACCTGCCCCAGTGTCTGTGACTGCTGCCGAGAGGACATCAAAGTCAGGTAATAACTTGCCCAGAGTCTTTGTATTGTTAATGATACCTAGTTTACCTGCATGTTGACTATCTGTTGCCTGGGTGTGTTTGTATTGGTATGTGTTTAACTTAGTACCCGGGGAGTGTAAGTGCCTGTTTAACCCCTTTTAGGTACCACATGCCTGTGGTAGTAAGGAAAAAGGGGGGTGGACCTGTGGAAGTTTTCCTGGGGGTCCTCTATTGCCTGTTTAACTCTTTTAGGAGCCACGTGGCTGTGGCTGTAAGGAAAAAGAGTAGGGGGGATCTGTGGAGGGCAGTAGACTCACTGCTTCCTGGGGATCCCCAGAGTGTCATTTTGACCGCTTAGCTAGCCTCATCAGACACTTCTTCTTGGTAAAATTCCAGTCTCAAGCGCTGAGACAGGTAAGATTCCAATTCTTTAGGCTATACAGGATTCGGGTTGGAAGCTGTTGCTGTTTCCTGTGGCTGCTGGTAGTGAGACTTGCGGGTGGGTCCGCAACAGGGACACTACGAGGTTGAGGGAGGTGGCTTTTGGCCACACGAGTAAAGGCAAGGGATAACACTGTTGAACTTATTTGAACTGTGATGCATGCACTGTATTTACACTGAAATGTTATTGTCTTAATTGTCTGTCACACAGATTCCTGTGTTTACTTCTATCTTACTCACTGTACTATTTACACTTTCCCCTCCTATTTCTCTTTCTCTTTGTTGAGAGAAGTGATTGGTCACACACTTCTCGCCACGCTCCAATCCGCGGCTACCACGGGTAGGCGGAATCAGTGACTAGTCTACGTTTTGGGAAGACGTACTTGAAGAGCTTGCTCTTAAAGTAGCAGTCGAGCACGGTAGACGTTCTGTTCCTTTCTCTCTCTATATCTGGGACGCCTTGTATAGGGAGGATGGGACAGAAGTTAGATAAACCCAGTAAGGGTTGGTTAGCATGTGATCTAGTGGAAGACAGAGAAGGAGAAGAGATGGTTAAGAAAGTGAGTAAGATTGCTAAAGTATGTGGAATTACCGTACCTCTGTGCGGCAGATTGTAGCCAGAGAGCTGGCGTAAGTTACTGACAGAAGAAAGGGAAGCTGTCGGACCAAGATTTGGTTTGTACAGCAGAAGCCTGGTACCGAGTAGCAAGAACTATTCAGCAAAAGGGATAGGTTGAGGAAGATATTGATCACAAAGGTTTAAGATTGTATGTATATCATAATAATTGTGTTACTGGGAAGTTATCCCAGCAGTGCCCTGTCCAGGAGGTGACCACTTCCATCATCCTGTCAGTAATGACCGAAATGTAGCTGACCATGGTCACCATCCCACCCCAATCTTAAAACGCTGTGGGGGTTTTGTATTTTGTGTTAGCCATTACCCTGGTAGAGGGTGGGGGTTTAAATGAAATGTTGTGTTTTTGCTTTGTAATGTAATTGTCCTTCTGTCTTGTTACTGTACAGCGTTGACATGGTTAAATTCGTGCTGGCAGGCAGTCTCTCTCTTGTTCCACTCAAATCCCCCTCTGCTAAAACACCCCCCCCTCCCCTCGCTTCTGTGAGACGCGGGGGGGGGTGGTGACATGCTTGCGATTTAGGTCTGTCTCTTCGGTGTTCTGTAGAGTTATTCAGAAGCTACTGATAAGAGTATAAGGTACTGAGGATTGTGGGAGTGACGAGCTCACAAGATTGCATTCAGTGTTGAATACGGGATTTAGGAAGGTGTAGAGGGAATATGCGATGTTGTTAAGTCAGTATAAGAGGAGGAAAGTGATTAATGGTTTGAGGAAGATAAGGGAATTTGGTTGAATTCCGCGAGTTTATTTTGCATCATTTTATTATTTTAAAGTTATTTTAAAGTACATGTTTCTAGAAACAGCTGTATGGGCTGTTAAATGCATAATGTTCTCAACTGTCTTATTTAACCTGCCAGGTCTGTTCATAGTTTAGTATTTCATTTTGCAGAACGGAATGTTGCTTCTCTGACTTATTTTAATAGTTATAATATAGTGTATTGTTGAAGGTGACGTCACTTCCGCCCTTACCATGCCCACACCTCCTGTCTTCCTTTCCCACACCTATCATGGACGTCATCTCACTTCCTCCCTTGCTGTCATTTCCTTCCCCGCCCCTGTCATGGCTGCCTCCATCATGAGGCCTACCCCTATTATGCTCGTCCCATTTAGATAATTACTGGAACAATCATGCCATTTGTTTCCCTGTATCAACAATTTGTCCGTGATATAAAAAAAAAAAAAAAAAGAAGGTTGCTAAAATGTAATTTGCAACTGTGGTGTGACCTACAAATGAGATCTGTTGGACACGAATATAAGAGCATAACAGCTGATTATCCAGCTTCATCTTGCAACAAGGGAAATAGCTAAATAATGCAAGTTATTTTAAACATTGTATCTTTACTTAATCGAATCTTGCTAGTTACAGATCTTATGTTTACAGTAACATCCTTTACTTTAAATGATGGTTTAGCATTAGAAGGGTTTGTGACATGTTTATTAACCCAGCCACTACTGGTTATTCATTTTAGTTACAGGGTGTAATTGTTATAGTCTAATTGATATAAATGATAGTACCGCAATAGTTAATGTTTTATCCAAAGACATATAGGAACTTTACTTAACTTACTATTAACCATTATTTATAATGATAGACATGTTCAGACTGCAAAAAGCTATGGCTAATGACATACAAAAGGGGTTTGAGTCAGTAACACAGCCCATACTGAGGAGAGCAAACCCGCTGATGCTTAATGCCCCTGCCATGGCAGTGTCTTCAGGGGAACAAGGGGGGCCCTCTAGCTACTGTAATTTTACCCATTGAGGGCCAGCCCACCACTTTCCTAGTTGACACAGGTGCAGCCCGAAGTGTTCTGAGAGAACAAGACCTGCCCGATACCTCATTTCTTTCCAATATTGATGTCTCCTGTGTTGGGGTGGACGGCCTTCCAAGGCAAAGTCCCCTGATCACCCCACTGCGGGTTGGTAACTGCCACAACTTGCTTGCTCGCTTTGTGGTATCTTCCACATGCCCCATTAACCTGTTAGGAGCTGATGTTCTTTCACGCCTGCAGGCATCCATCACCTTTACTCCAGATGGACAAGTGGAACTATCCACCCCTCTATCTGTCTCAGACACCTCAGCTTTGTGCTCCTTACCCCTGATGCTACATCTAGAAGAGCCTCATGGGGATGTAAAAGACCTAAGGACTAATTTCCCTGATTCACTAAAGACTGATGTTCCCAAGAAGCTGTGGTCCACAGGCCCAGAGGACATAGGCCATCTAAAGGTCCCGCCTGTGGTGGTAAAGCTCATCCCAGGCGTAAAATTGCCACGAAAATCACGGTATCCTTTGAAACCAGCTCAAGCTGCAGCCATTACAATTCAAATTCAAGCACTCCTGGAGAAGGGTGCTCTTGTCAAATGTGAATCACCATGCAATACTCCATTATTTCCAGTAAAGAAAAAGACTCCAAAAGGCGAACCAGAAAAGTACAGATTGGTCCAAGACCTCAGAGCGGTAAATGAAGCCACAGTTTTGGACACTCCAATAGTGCCCAACCCACACACTCTCCTTTCCAGCGTTCCACCCTCTTCCAAGTACTTCACTGTAATTGATCTAGCCAATGCCTTCTTCAGTGTTCCCCTGGATCCAACTTGCCAATATCTGTTTGCTTTCACACATGACAAACAACAGTACACATGGACTGTCATGCCCCAAGGGGCACAAAATTCACCAAGTCAATTTGCGAAGGCCATGTGCTCTATCCTTGATCCATGGCAATCTGACCACCCTGAGGTCGTCCTGCTTCAATATGTGGATGATTTGCTGCTTTGTGGAGATGATATACCCACAACAGAACAATGCTCACTTAATATTCTTTGCTACCTAGCAGAACAAGGATGTAAAGCTTCACGTCTCAAGCTGCAATTCTGCCAACCTACTGTTATCTTCCTTGGCCATTGTCTGTCTCAGGGAACCAGACATCTTACCCGTGACCGAGTTAGAGCGGTACTGGACATTCCACCTCCAAGGACCTCGAAATCACTACACGCCTTCCTAGGCCTCATTTCCTATTGCCGAGCATGGATCCCAGAAGCCTCGCTCCTTATGCAACCTCTTTATGATGCTCTCAAGTCAGACCCATTTTGCTTGTCCACAGAAGCCCTTGACAACTTCTGTTCTCTCAAG